ACTCTACCTAGTAACACTCTCAAGGGATACTAACATGTCTTATTCCATATTTTTTCTAGGTTACATACAATTTTGATGAGGGTAATAATAAACAAATAAGTATCGAAAACTAGATTGTTCAATCATACTAACGAGACTATTGTCTATAACACTTATCCTTATCATCCGTTAATGTGATGGGCGGATTACCAGATAGTGCACATCCAGCAAATGCAAATGTACTGTCTTTTGTCATGATACACGATTTACTTTTACTCAATATGTACAGATCTGCCACTGCTGTATATGTAGCTATTGAAACACTGTCTAAATTCATCACTTGAGTATCTGAGAATAGAGCTTTCTCATTCACAAAACTCACATTTCGATTCCTCAGATTCTGTTTCAGATAGTTCTTTGCATACATCGAATCAGAAGCAATATATATGTTATTTGTTTTAGAGTATGACTCTATACAACGAGCTGCTACAGAAAGAGATTTCATTGATAACCATTGTTCTTTCAAGGGATAGTCTGAAAGACTTCCACCCATTCTCAGTTGAATCGCATCAAATGGTTGCGTGTCGACGATTGGATATCTCACTCTCATGATCTGCTTTGTCAGGTCAGTGATTTGCATAACATGTCTCAAAAATTCTCCATAACAATAGTATTGCCGCAGATAGGATGAAATGTTCTTTTGATAGCTCACTATTCCATTGTACTGGAGAATATCATGATATCCCACAGAGTCGATCACAAACTTCAGCAGGAGTGAATTTCCGATTACTGCTGTTATTCTTGTTGGGAATATAGGATCAACCTTTCCTGTATTGATTGCATTGCTTGTGTATCACAAATCTTGTATTTTGAACTTTCCAAAAGGTTTAGGAACTAGTAAGTAACTGTAGTGAAGCAGATAGTTTATATCTATGTAATCAACGATTTTCTAGACGATACCTTCATCAGGAACATAAACAATCTGTCCAGTATAGTTCTGCCGAATGTTCCACACTATATGCCATGATGCAGAATAAGGAACTAGGTTTCAACAACAGTTTTGAATGTACTGATAATAGGGATTCTGTGTCTAATTGAAAGAAAATACAATCCACTGAACAGCTGCAAGCGATTTCCCAAGCCTTTATAATTGGGTAATAAAATCAATCGCTGGTTAGATCTCACTCTATGCATTAATAAAGAGCAATCATAAATAATACAAAGACTTTAACTCAGCAGACTGTATTTGATTAGTATGTATTGGCGATATCCCCTTACCTCTAACTCTATCACTAAACGATAATTCATAATCATCCAACTATTACCCAAATTTGTTTATGATTCCAGGCAGTGAATCTCGAATCTTAGCTCCTTTTATTAGCTGATGGGTCTGGTTTGTATTGAGTATGGTTATTACATTGATATCTGTTGTTATATTGCTACTCCAATCTGCTGGTCGAACTAACTGCCCATTGTTTCCCAAAACACTTGTAGAGTCCACTTTGATTCCATTATCACTCTGCTGAACTAATGGTACATTATACTGTTGACTTGGATTTCCAGAACGTCTACATCGAATAAACAGAGTGATTTGATACCTGAGTGATAATAGGAGTGTATGGCTAGCATTGATTGAATAGTTACATAAACTATTGAGGAAAGTGTTCGTTGATGACAGTTGTGACCTACATAGAATAATCTCTAAGAGAATTACAGCAAGTAACTTGCAATTACAATCAATATTAACATCACCATACGAATACCGAATTACCAAGTAACTATAATGATCTCCTAATTCCCAATATTTCTTGTTTTCCAATAATCGTATTCTACTAGTAGTTGTATGATTATTATGCAGGTATTATACAATAAAAATACTATTATCTTTCTTTATAATAATAGCATTTCCCTATATTCTGTATTGTTATCTCTCAACTGTTCTTTATTGACTATTATTATTAGATAGTGGTAATAGCTCGTTAACATCCAATTCTAATATACCTTGTTTTTCAACAAATTGGATATCTACAAAGTACTATTCGTATCATTGCGTGTGTACTAAATCATATTACGATATGATCACATTGGTCTTTTTCAAGAATAGTTGTAGTATTCTGATTTGTTGTTCACAAATAGAACATTGAAATCCTAGTCACATTATTACCATTTTGCATTGTCCTTTCCCAACTTGGCTTCATTACAGTTCTTTTAAGCTATCACTTTTTAAACATACTTGTTTCGTCCATGGAATTATCACTGGAGGTTTCCCTGTGATAGCACATCCAGCGTAAGCAAACGTGCTTCCATCCGTCATTATGCATTGTTTGCTATTTCCCAGAATATAAATATCAGCCACAGCAGAATAGGTAGCGATAAAAACACCTTCCATGTTATTCAGTTGACTATCGGAAAACAAAGACTTCTCATTGACAAAAGTCACATTTTTGTCTTGTAATCTCTCTTTCATGAATAGTTTGGCCTTTATGGAATCAGAGGCTACATAAATATCCTTTGACTTGCAATAGGTTCCAACACATCGAATGGCAACATTCAATGACTCCATGGTAAGATAATGATTAGGCATGGGAACATCCGATAGTCGTCCTCCCATTCTCAGCTGAATTGCATCATAGGGTTGTTCAAAAACGATTGGATACCGCACCTTCATCATTTCCTTTGTCAGATCGGTAATCTGCATAATGTCTCGTAAAAACTCTCCATAACAATAGTAAACCTTCATATGGGATGACACATCTCTTTGGAAACTAGTAATTCCACTGGCTAATAGAATCGAATGATACGGTTTAGAATCGAGAATGAATCGAAGAATATGCGAATATCCGATAATAGTTGTAATGCCTGTAGGTAATCCAATTCGCTCATCGCCCGTCATGATAAAGTCCTTGATTCTTTGTAAATCTGTTCTGATATGATCACCATAAGCCTTCACAACGATTAGATAGCTAAAATGAAATAGATACTTCAAGTCTATTCAATTATATGATTATTCATTTATCGATACCTTCATCATCAGCAAAGACAACTTGCTGAGGGAAGAATTGCTTGATAGTCCAAAACTTGTGCCACAAGGCAGAATGAGGAACTAGAATCATTAAAAGAAAACAAGGCACAGTCCTACTCACAATAGAGCAGTTATGTCGGATGGATATAAAATACAAACCACAGAATAGCTGTAATCGATTTCCTAAACCTTTGGTATTTGGGAGAAGGAACAGTTTTCGTTTGGAACGAACCCTATTATTTGACTTTACAATAACGAAACCAACAATTCACGTAACTCTTCGGACTTAATCATGGAAGGATCTAATCGTTCGGTACTTTTGCCAATCAGCATATCACTACAAAACATGAATCAACCATTTCCTACCCATATCTGTTCTTTCCAATTCCTGGAAGATTATCTGAAATGCCATGACCTGTTTTCACTTGATGATTCTTTGTTACATTTAAGACCAATTCTAAATCTTTGGAATGATTCATGTGATTCGATTCGTTTTGATTGTTATTGTCATTCTTTGTAGAAATTGACACACCGACAGTAGAGTTGACACGAATAGTGGAAACAGAACTATTACTCACTTTCTATAATGTTATCAACATACCTAGACTAATACAATAGAACTGTTGATATCTAGTATTACTCTAAACAATAATAGCAATAGTTAGTACATACCTTTTAGTCGAAATATCATTTCTATGAATAGGTACATATTCGAAAGATGAAGAATAAGTCGATAGAGAAACATATATCAATTGTGCCCTACAACTTACCAATTGGCACGATATTGAACACTAAATAGATTGAAACAAACAATAATTGAAACATAGGACACACAGAATGGTAATAGTAAACTTAATATGATACAGGTGAGCTGTGTATGAATCTATACTTGATTCTCTTTCCTTATTCTTTGTCGTTTGAGTGAATGGATTGATTCTATTGCAAAAACAGTAATGAATACTAAATCTGAATGGGTAGCCAAACATACCATTTTTGATTTGTTTAGCATTATTCAAATAGATGGGAATGTAGTTCTATGCAATACGATACGATACAAATGGAACACATATCAAATCCCATAGTTGTCAAGAATACAAAATGGGAAAACAAAGTCAGTAATCATCATGTTCTGTGTGTATACACAATGTTTAGCCAACAATAATCTATCTATCTATCTATCTTTCTATCGATAATTTACATCATTTCATCATTAAGAGATATCTTCACTTTTAAGGCATTCTTTAGTTTCATTGCAATTACTACAACTATAATATATATATATAAATGGGGGCAATGTCACATTTTCCAGCTTGTAGATTCTAAACTTTCGAGTTATTTCAAACATGCAATTTGTGAGATATCGAATTTATGAATAGTACAAAATGATTGAATTATGTGTATTAATAGAGTTTCGTAATTTGACACTTCCATTACTCTTCACAACAGCACTCATCATTTGATTTATCAACACATTAGTTCTATTCTAGATTGTATACTACCAAGTATATCACTCTTACGTGCTTAACCGACTCTTTGTCCAAAATCGCTTCATTAAATGACAGACATTTTACATCCTATTTTCCATAGTACAAGTATGCATATTTCGTATTCACATCTCAATATTGATAATATCTTCCATGGAATCAAGCAAAAATAGTGTATTTTTCGTGGAGTAGTTTGGTTCATTATATTTTGGTTTTTGCATAATATATATATGTATTTTATTTGAAATGATAGTATTTTTGATCCTTGCAGTCTTAGGGGAGCTTTCTATTCTGTTACACAATAGTCATCCAAACTGGAGTTTGTCATCAGTTCATGTCTTACAAGTAAGTTCTCCCTTCAATTCTTTCATATTCTATAGCAAATACAATTATCGTCTCACAAAGTCTTGTCTCATCATTCGAAAGCTATTACCACAACGTTACCAACAGTTGCTCCTGTATTCTTTGCTCTCTCTTTTCCTATTATGACTAGTATATTGATTTTCAACCTCTTGATAAGCGATATGGAAAGAACAACGTATATGTGCAAAAGCTAATGAAGATACCCTCCCTCAAGCATTTCAGCAATGAAAAGAAATGTTTTCAACAGCTCGTTCCATATTATCTCAACCCATTTGCGAGCTCAGCTTGTCATAATGCCAGTGATTTGTTTGATTTCTTCAAGCACAACAAAAAGAATCTATTCTTCGATTGCCATGATTCACATCCATACTCACATTGCCAGCAATTCTATGTCGTTACATATGATACAATGAAAAATGAATGTTCGTCCTTCAAAAGAAAGCCATGTATGATTTATGAAAGTTGCTCTCTCTTACATACTAGATAATCCCAAGGATTATGATGATGTCACTCTAATCACAATCTTAACGTTAGTTCGGAAAGATCGATTGCCCTATTTGATGAAGAGATGGAAACATCGAATCAATATGGTAATCTTCGTTACAGAGAATGAGATCGATGAGTTAAGAGAGGTGATCGATTCATACAAGTCCTATAAACGAATCACCTTTATACTCTACATTGTGAAGTCTAGGATCGGCTCGCGTTATCAAAGCATTTATTATGATGAAAAGAAACCCGTTTATCGAAACAATACAATCTTTCCTATCAATGTTTTGAGGGACTTAGCGATCGAGTTCATTGATACAACTCATTACTTTGTGAGTGATATCGATGTATTTTCATCCGATACTCTATATTCGACACTTCAGATTCATAATCAAACACTGAAGGATCCGAAAGCCGTATTGTTGCTAAAGTCATTCCTAATGAATGAAAAAGAAGTGAATCACAAGAATTGTTATGAAAAAGGATTGTGTGAGAATATGTATATGATTTGTATGGATCGTTGTAATGGTTAGTTGGGATATGGTTCCTCATACAAAATCGGAATTGAAGCGAGTGTATATGCATAGTGTTGTACCTCATCCTACAGGTCGACATGTAGTTTATATAAATTCTGAACCACACATAGAGAATTGTAGATGTAGATAAAATGCTTGCCGAGAATAAGAACATTCTTTACCGATACTATGCTGATCATGAAATGGAACCCTATTCCATAGTCAAGCGTTCAATGGATAATCCCATATTCCATCCATATTTCATTGATTATGGATATAACAAGGAAGAACTATTGAATCGGATGATATCTCAACGTATTTGATTGTGATTTGTCCTATTTTGTAGATTATCACTTTTATGTCTTAGCCAACGAATTTTGCATTGAAATACCTCACAAACGAACCAAGATATCAAAGGACTATAAACGAGGCACTTACATGTGGCAGCTTGCCCAGATAATAAGAAAAACGTATGGAATAACGCTAGTATAGAGTGTTTTGCACTAATCAGATTATAATTGAACTTCAAAGATACTACAGACAATAACCACATATATGGTTCAAAATATTGTGGTTATAATAATATGGATAAAGAATGCAAGGAGTATGAGCATGATAAGGAAGGAATATCAAATTGGGCTCAATGATCATTGGATTCTTAGTGTATTACATAAATTATGTAGCTTTCGATAAGAGGCGTACATTTACTATATTATTGTGCCAAAATCAAAATTAGAAAATAGTTCTATTGATAAAAATGGAATTTTAGTCAATCCTATTATTTTGGGCAAAAGCTTTAGAAATGAGTTATTATAGATTCTATACAATAGCTTGAGTTTAACCAAAGCTTGTATATTTCATTCACTCACTCATTCAAATAAGAATACAAGCTTCTAAATTACAATCTAAATATACCACAAAACATATATATATATGTCCAAGGAAATTGTACAGAAAAACATCACAATGTGAAAAGAACGATGGTATAGTATTTTGAATATCAATGAAGAACAGAGCATAATATAGCACATGATGCAAACAACTAGTTTTGCTTGTATTTTGAACTATTGTCTTCATTCCCTTCTTTTGAGTGTGAATGTGGATTGATAGAAATATTTACTTCCATTTTAAATAAGAATTGGCTCATATGATACTCCCACATCAACATCATTTTCGAAACTACTTAAAAATGTACTGAGATTTTTATAACTATACGAACCATATTAGAAACGACTTTTCAACTATGAATAAGTGAAATGAAGCTATCCTATGAAGAATAAAATGGTAAAATCGAAAAATCAATACCAATAATCCTATTTTTCCTTCAAACCAAATAAGAATGATTCTGTGACTTTTAAAAACTATTTAAAAATAATAAGGATACTATTTTCTTTACATATAAAATGACGATAATGCTGCAAAGTGTAATCCAGGACTCATGTACCAAACCTATGACTCATATCGAAAAATCAATTCATTACAATTTTAGGACAAAAGTAATATTCAGTACTATTTAATATGTGATACAAAAATAGTACTATTCATAAGAATAATGTATTGAATCAAATGTTCAAGGATTTTTCGCTTTAATATAAGAAAATAGAGCAATTTCATTCTGATGTATTGGCTGATTGTATAACAAAGCAGAAATGATTGTAATGCATATTTACATAAATACAAGTCATCATAAGTGTGGAATAAGCTTGTCTTTATGATGATGGCAAAAACAAAAGCAAAAATTCTTTCTGTATTTTATATCGATTCTCCAAAGGGTGTGATACATTTCCAATAAAACATTATGAACAATAAAAATAGATAAGCATGCTATTTTGAAAAAAGAATCGATTGCTTTTTCCATAACTTGCTTCGTGAATATTTCCACTACCAGACCTCTTTTAAACAATTAAAAATTATATTCTTGTTACTTGAAAGGAATTGCACCTTTTCTAAGTTATGCCTATTTTCGAGCAAATGTGTATATGGATGCAGTGGTATGACTTCCTAATAATTTATTTGAGTACATAACTATATATAGATTTGTAATAATTGATGAAAGAAATATTTTGCCAAGTATTGATAGAGAAAAATTGAGTTTTGAGAAAAATGGATCCTAAACACGTGGACAAATATTGAGAATTTGAGTCACGTGATTCATATAATATGCTATTTTTCACTTTTAAAATTCTGATAGCTTAGTATTGAGTTATCTATGATAATGAGTATGATTATTAATAGTTTAGGAATACAAATAAAATAGAATCATAATTTTATATCACCGCATTACAAGAATCGCTGGTTCTATTGTATTAATTGTTATTATGTGACTCATAATGATGAAGGCTATTTATTATTTATATTCGATATACATGAAAGCAATAAAATGATATGAGTGTAGAAAAACAAACAATTATATATTGGAAAAGACACGTGCACAGAATTATGAAAAACGATCAATATAAAATAATCACATAATTCTTTCACAAAAATACTATATATTGTATTATTTATATATCCACTTTAGTAAAAACTTGTTTCTCCAAACCAATTCAACGATTCATTCCAACTAGTGGGCATTACTCTATTTACTTGTATTTTTTGAATCAACTTATTCCATTGCATTTTGTTGTGATTGATAATATGTTGGCGATACTTCAAATTGCATTCATACACATGAGAATAATTTGTTGTTTTCATCAACTCAACTAGGTGCGAGATATTGTTGAAAATGATTGAGCATGGAGTATAATAGGAAGCATATTGAAGCCAATATTCAGTGGCCTCTTCTGAAGAATCCTCAGGTGAATACAAGTGTTTTGAATTAGGATGTCGAGGAGGTTCCTGAAATCTCTTTCCACAATAGGAAGGATCTCCGGCTTTCATATCATAACTAATCTTATTTTGAACGATAAATGATGGTGAAGGCACAAACATTGGAATAGCAGTAGTAATCAAATCTGCGAGATAATAGGATAAAACAGCATATGGAAATACAATCACTGCCTTAAATGAATTGATATCAGAATATGTGAACCTTCCTTTTATCTTTTCTCGAATATGGACAACAGGACACTCAAAATTTGACGAGTTACATGCTTCAGGTATTTGCGTGCTATACTGTTGATAAAATGGATTTCTTTTAAATGGAGCATACAAATATTCATTGTATTTCGGTGAATAAGATGTAGGCGGGGAATACATGAGTACTGTAGACGCAATTATGTAGTCCACATTCTTTCCAGAATAATAGTTGATGTATTCTGCATCATACTTTCCTGCAGCCATTACAATAATAGGAGCTTTAGGTTTATTGAACATCCATTTCATGAGGCTATTTGAATCATTTGAAGAACATCGTTTGATGAGAAAACGGTGAGCAGGCATGAATATAACTGTTTTGTTAAATGCTAAATAGTTTTGACATTCCGATGGATAGAACATACAAATGATAGCATCAGCACGTTTAAACAGAGTATCGTTATGAAATGTCCACCAGAGGCGTTGAACAGACTTCATATTATATGCAAATAGTTTTGATGTTTTACATACTTTTCGAGAAGCAAAAATGATTCTAGATTTATTGTTTGTACCACTCAATTGCAAGTATTCCTCTTCACTGAGAGTTACTTCGCGTAACCCAGTATAAATAGGCAAAGCACCCTTATTATTATAGAAATAGATTGAATGACCTTGTGAATTCAGAGAAATGGCAAGATCTGTCATAGTGCCGTCATGAACATCAGGTGAAAAGAATAGAAGAGACTTTGATTCATATGGCTGACTCTTTTTTGTTGGAATAGTCAAATCGTTATTTGAAGTGACAGAGTGAGGTACAGAAACATTTACAGCCTTTTTGTGGCTTCCTTTTTTAGTATTTAGTATTGATGTAGTTGGATTTGCTATATTATCCATACCGTCATCTGAGACTATTGAAACACTCACCAATATTGTTATCAAGGTATAAATACATATTATTGAATATACAACATACATGAATAATAAAAAGGTTATTAATTATTATTGAGATAATCAAAGAGGAAATAGGGTCCTGAATCTTATTTTTCTCATTTACTTGAGCATGATTATAACAGATTTTGTTATCTATTTTTCTCCATCTAAACATTCTTATGTTCTCTTGTAACTCCTATAACACAATGAAGAATCAAATAGATTTGTATGATGAATGTAAAGGAAAGAATCCATTTGGTTTCAATATATGAAATACTCATATCTTATTTCCTAATTTCAATTAGATTCAAAGGAATAGTGAAATGAATGATGAAAGTATAGAAATACAATACGTGCTATTATTGTTAACTTTGATGGACTGCATTAGTTCATATATTCTACGAAGATATTGGAAAAGAACTAAGCTAGGGAATATAATGTGAAGTCAGAGACAGAGATCAAGACCTCTCCTGAAAAAGATTCGATTTAATTGATAATTAGACTAAGAATATAGTGAAAACAATATATTTCAACTCATCGATATAATGTTTACCTCAATCATGTGTAATTAATAGTATAACAAAGTTAGACTAAATTCTTCAAATATTGCCTCTTTATCTATCTAAACTCAATGTGCAGCATTCATTCATTATCTTATATAAGTAATTTTCTAGCTTTCTCACTGTAAAGTTTTATTCCATGTATCTAAACATACGATCTATAATGACATCGAGATGATCCTGAAAGATGTGACATTCTTTACAAGGCATAATTTGCAATTTTATCAGAGTGTATTTTCATAATATAGTAGAATTTCTATCATATTATATGGGTGTATAATATTTCATAACTACAAGTAGCTTGCAAAAAACTATATATGCTACATAAAGAATTACGTAAATAAAACAAAAGACTTT